GTGCCGTCCCAAAGAACATTATCATGCGTTCAATCTTCCATATTAGACAAACAGTACTTTAATAGAAATTACTGCTGTGTCCTACAGATGAAGTTGTCTCAAACTGTAATGATTTGTGTGTCGAAGGTGATCGGATTGAATTTAGACAGACCACTGACTATCCTGACAGAGGTTGTTTGTAATTTTCTTCAGTCTCTCCAGGTAAATGCTGGGATGTAACCTAAAATTTGACCTACGACCACTTCCATATCCTTACCAGTAATAATTATTCACTTATTGTCCTAGCAGTGCTGTATATTTGAGTTTCTGACAATGTTGCTTTGTAAACCATACATATAATTGTACATATGTCTGCCATAAGGTGGAGATTTCTGTGGTGAACATTGAAATTGTTTGAAACCTGTAATTATTGAGGACTACAGCAGTATGTCTGTTTTGTAACCAGGCCACAGAATGGCAATCACCTACTCAGTAAGCAGTGATCCTATCCCAAAAATGACATACCTGGAAGTCAGCAGGAACAACCACTGGCCACCCAGAGGAAAGCAGTTGCATGTGTCTATTTTTTACACCACAGATAAGCATTCAGCTTACCAATGATAAAGATGTGACGTTAGTATATGCACTGTTGCATGCTTTACAAATTATCACACTGAAGTAAATTTCTGAGCACAGTACCTTGTGTGGGACAACCATAGGATTCAAGCAACTGACAGGTGAATGAAACACACCTGTTGTTTCAATTTTCTTATTTTATAACAAGTTCATAAATGAGTCTGTTGCATACATAAACTAATTATAGAAATAAAAGTTTTGCAGTGCCATTGTATACATCTTGTTTGCTTTATGATGATACTTTTTATTTTATAATTTTATCTTTGACAATTTTAGACGCCACCTCTGTGGTCTAGTGGTCAGAGCTCCTGCCTACAGATCCAGAGGTCCCGGGTCCGATTCCCGGCATTGCCAGATTTTCTGAGTAGTGGGTCTGGAACTGGTTCCATTCAGCCTCATAATGATAATTGAGGAACTATTTCAAGAAAATAGCGGCTCTGGTCTAGAAAGCCGAGATTAACGGCCGTGGGATCTGTTGCGCTGACCACGTGACACCCTCTATCCGCAAAAGTTGGCACTAACTTCGCTGACAAGCGGCAGTCACTCAGTTGGTGTAGTTCACTTTTGGACTACAGGCCATGGCATTTTTTGTTTTTGTTTTTGTTTAACAGTTTAATGAAATTTACATATTTAGGAAGGAGGAGACAGTTTTAATTAAATGTTATCATGTAATTCAGGCAGACATGGAGTGAGGTTAAAAGAATTGCTGTTGGCAGGATCTGGTGGAAGTATTTCACGGATGTCTTATGCCCCAGAGAGAGCAACAGGAATTAACATGTAATTCACTTCATGCGTTTCTGTAAGGAGGATTTAAACTTTGTACAACAGTTGGAGATAATTTTCAGGATGAACCAGAACAAGGCTTTTCTGCTATGCTTGAACACTGTATTCTCCCTATCTTGATATGATGTCAGCAGTGATAGGTGGAAGTGGGTACACTTTTATGGCTCAGTCTTGTGCTACTGTAAATTTCCTTTGCATTGGACATGGCTAGATTTGCACTAGAGCATCAGATGTTTTTATATGAACCTTATGTGAAGTGTAGCTTTGCTATGAAGGGTCAGAGGAAATTCAGAAGAAAGTTTTGTGGAGTTTGAGTTGCCCACATAAATAATATACAGATTCTTGTTAGCAAAGTAAGAACGTGTTAAGTATAATAAAAGTAAAGTTTAACCCTTTGACGTGGTAATTTAAATTCCGCGGCCGCGGCTCCTGCGGTAATATATTCAGCCGGCCATTTAAATTTTGCTCGAAAATTATTTATTCATCATTGTTCTTAAATTCTATGAGATAGGAACATGAAACTTTCACTAAAATGATCTTAAATGGTGGTTTTATAACCTTACCTTATAATATGGGCGCCCTGTATCTCGGCCATGGAAGCAGGTTGTTTAGTATTTC